CATATACAATTTCTTAGGCACTAAATACTAAACTCTTATACAATCACATGTAGCACATTGTGATAATCAAATTGATTAGTAATTAAGTATATTATCTATAATATACAATAACCTTCATTTGAGGTAGTTTGAGTAATATTACAATGAAGATAAGATAACCAATGATAGGTCCTCAAATCTAATATAGTTAATTAGTTATTTCATGTAAAGGTATAATATACTCAATTAGTCATACTCTCCACATAAAAATTTCAAGATTTATATTTAAAAGACTAAAATTCTGAAACATAAAAAATTTGAAAACATAAACATTTTATCTTCTTTCATTTCTAAAAATATTGAAAACACCAAATTTTCCCTATCTTTATCAACCCATAAACTAAAATCATTCACATTTTCCTCTTCTTTCTTTTCCGAAAAATGAAAAACACTAAATTTCTCCCTTCTTTCTCTTCCCAAAAATTTGAAAACAACACAATTTCCCCCCTTATTATTTTTTTCCATACATAAAAAAATCCAAATTTGCCACTTATTTTTCTTTCCATAAATCAAAGGTACCAAAATTTGCAAAACATCCATCTTAGCATAGGTATTCTTGATATGAAGGTTTACATAGGGGAATTGACCCCAATTTGTCGTATTTTATGTTTTCCCAAGTGTTTGTGATGAAATTCAAGGTCTTATATGCATTCGGGATTGATCGGGAATCGATTGGAGGTCATCTAAGCACGATTGGGAATCATAGGAGCAAGAAGGGGTGAAGAGGCACTGGTTCGCGGGCTGAGGATCGCCGTCGTGAATAGTAACCGCAAACTTCAGCAGGCGCCCAAGTAAAAGGCATAAAGTTTTAATGGAGAGTTTAGTTGAATATCTAATCCACCCAAGGAGCAAGAAGAAAGGTGCAAGCAAGGAAAACAAGATTGATGTCATCACTCTCTCTCTCTTCTAGTTTGTGGTTTCTTTCTCTTTATGACTTGAATCTCTAATTGTTGTTTAGGGAAGATGAACTATAGTTTATTTGGTTTTGAATGAATATGTTTATCTAGTTGATTTAATTGTTTCTCTAGATTAAATTGTGCTTGGGTAGGGTAAGTCGCCCTAATATTCTCTTCTAGCTTACTTGAACTTCTACGCTAGGTATGAAGTTTAAGGTTAGACGAGTATGCGCCATCTTGCAAATTAGGGTTAGATGATGTGGACGATGCGACTGTACCCCTTCCATAAGAATGTCTTCCTAGATAGAACCCAGGATTAAACATCGGTGTGGACAGTCGGTAGTACCCATTGATATGAGCTATGTTCTTAAAACCCCGGATACAATAGCCTAGATCGAGGCGTGTGGATAATCACAAATGCCCATGGTAAAGAGCTCACTCACCACATTCTCTTAACCCTACATGACAACCATATCTAGGAGGATTCAACCTTAGGCAACCGTCTCATCTCTAGCGATCTCCCGGCCACTTGGTTGGTTGTTTATTTTGCCTTTAGGAGTAGATTAGATTAGTTTAAACACCCAACCTTTTGATTCGATTAGATAATTGTTCAGAGCGAAGTAATAGTAAGCTTAGGGTTCCTTTGGAATATGACCGAACCACTTACTACAACCCTAGCTAGATTATACTTGGCTTAGTGAGTATTGAACAGAGAGTGTGCATTGACTTATAAATTTAAAGCTCGATCACACAAGCAATATTTTTCCAAGTTAGACTGTACAATTTCAAAAAAATTCAATTCTCAAGCACCCACGCCAACTTTGATCTTTGATTTCTTTTTTAGCATTTTTATTTTTTTATTTTCTAGACTCAACACTGATTAAAAGTAAATAAACATATTAATAATCATTACCAAGAGTCTTAGATTCGAATACACAACCAGCTTTAATTATTAATCTGTTATAGTGTAAAGTTTATTGTTTATTTAATGGAGGCTAAAAGCCGGTTACAGGAGCAAGCTCAGAATGAGCAAGAAAATAGTTAAGTTTGGCGGTCAGAATAATAAAATTTATTTGATAATACTTATTACAAAACTTACAAGATAAACTCTATTAATTATATTTAGGCCAAATTCACTTGTGTAGCCAAAACTTTGACGATTTTGCCAAATATAGCCACTTTTGGGGAAATACCAATAATAGCCAGAATTTTGAAAGTTTGATGACAATAATAGCCATTTCCGTTACATAATTTAACGGCGTCAATGACACCGTTAGTCAATTTAACGGAATGCTTACTTGGATGCCAACTCACCCTCTCTTTCGTTTCCACCTCAGCATTCACTGACAGATGGACGACACGTCATTACAAAAATAAATAAAAAATTCATCAAAATATTCTATATGGACATGTTTTTATCTTTTTATTATTAATAATTATATAAATAAACACAAAAAAAGGAAATGCTTCATCTTCTTCATCTCTCCTACTCCCCTTCTTCATCTTCTCCAATCCACTCCCTGCCCCCAAATTTTCGAGAATCAAATCCAGTATCTCCCCTGATCTCTTCTGCCTGGTCCGATTTTTTACCTCCGATCTCAATCTGTGAATAATGAAATCAAAGTAAAAAAAACAAATAAAACAAAAACTAAAAACAAGCATCTGTGCTGGTCATCGAGATGCTTCAGCTTCCTCATCCGCCACTGCCGCAAAGATTGATTAACTATATTGCCTTCCTCTCCCCCTCGTCCATCACCAACCGCCAGCGAAAAATCCCTCCGCCAAAAAATCCAACTAAAAAACTAGAAACAATCGCAATTACGGATCTGGAAATGGAGAACAAAACCCAGAACTCTTGTCTTCCTCTTCCAACGCTTCGGACATTGAAGACTAGATCTGGCCGCGCCGCATCGACTGTGCTATTTCAGAAGGACAATCCATTCCTTCTCCCTAGCTCGATTTCTGTTTTTAGCTTCAAAGGAGGAGGATGCAGCGAGATTTGGTCTGGATACAGATCTAATTAGCGACCCGGCGGCGAGATTTGGTATGAATACAGATCCAACTAGTGGCCCACCGTCCAGATCCGGTCTCAAGGCTAGAGTAGGCGCCGTTGGCAAAGAGATTTTGACGGCGACAGCGAGATCCTGAACCGGCAGTGACCCAGAACCGGCAGCAACGGAGAATCGAAAGAAAATCGAGCTCTGTAAGACATTGGAGGAGAATCGAGCGCCAGAGCGAGGCTCTCTACTGTCGGCACCGCCGTTGGGGTCGACGTCTTCAGTTTTGCCGGCGAGAGGGTCGCCACCACCAACCGTCGTGGAAAGCCTCTCGAAGAACAACATCTCCGCGAATCAAACCCGGAGTTAATTGGGTTGGGGGATGTACAATCGGAGGGAAGACTCCGCGACATAGTTGGCTCGACGACGATGTTGTTGAGAGAGCGAGAAGCACTAATAGAGCTTTCAAAATGGCGGTAGGTCGAGCAACTTCGCACCTTCTCCCTACGGTCGAACATATTCCCCTCCTCGGGTGTCGACGACGGAAGTTGGGTAGGTTTAAAATGGTGGTGGTGGTATGATGACGCAACCTAGGTAGGGATTAATGGGTTTAGGGTTGATTCTTATTTTGGTTAGGGAAGATTTTGAGGGTTGCAGAAGAAGATGAAGTTTCTAGAGTTCAGAGAATTATTGATGAAGGGGAGGTGATAAGGCGATGCTGAAGATATTTTTGGTTTTATTTTTTTATGATTTTTTTATTTAATTTGATTAAAATAAAAATATAAATTTTACTTATTTTCCACCTAATATTATTTTCGAATAAAATATGCCATGTCAATTGCTGCTGTTAGTCCAGTCAGCACGTTAACTAACACCGTTAAACAATTGGACGGAAGTGGCTATTTTTGGTATTTCGTTAAAAGTGGCTATATTTGGCAAAACCGTCAAAGTTTTGGCTACACAAGTGTATTTGGCCTTATATTTATAATAACAAGACTATAACTAGCCTGTTTTTGTGTGTGTAAACATGACGCTAAAGGGCGTCCTAACCTTTATCGATTAATAAAAGTTAGATGAATTTTTAATGAATCTTGTTATATAAACATATACTTTATGATTACAAATAAATTAAATCAATCCAAATATAAACTAATTCAAAAATAGTTTAATTATAATTTCAAATGATTAATAATAATAAAAATAATTCGATCGCAACAAAGTTAATTTGATAATAAATATAAATAAATAAATATAGGATATTCCCAACCGGCCCGGCAGACGCTAACATCCATTTTATTGTTCAAGTAAATATAAATTTTAGAGGAAAACACATTATTTGTCGTGCATGGTACGTTCCAGTCAACCAAGTCTACCACACACGACACGTTGATCCACTTGGTGAGAGAGGGGAATAGTTGTTTGCTTTGACCAAATCACTCTTCCTTCCTTCCTTCCTTTACTTTTTCTTTTTGTTAAAACACTTTTTTTTTTTTTTGGGGTCTCTGCAAATTATTCATGGGAGAACGTTGAAAAAGTAAAAGGAAGTTGGCATCCAAGGATCAAAAACAACGACTCCCCATGTTGAAAAGAACAAAAAAGGCCAAAGTATCAATCAACAGCCAGACAGTGCCACCACCAAAGCTGGAATCTTTCGTTCGGTCTCAGTCTATTAACAAATAAAGCAAATTAAAGTAAAAGTGTTTTGAACAAAAGGAACACAATTGGAAGCTTATCAGTTCGTGGACCAAATTGTCAAATTGGGATGTGGATAACATTATATAAAGTAAACATAATTGCTAATGAGAATCGAAACCTACAAACAGTTCTCCTATTATTGGGACAAATTTTGTACAAATTCGTTTATGGTATACACGAAACTTGTATTTACAATATTTTTAGTATAAACTCAACTTACCTGGAAGTGTTTGTGCTTGTGAACATTGTAAAATCCCTGGTGTCTAAAGCAAGTCTAAATAAGAATAATGGGTTACGATTCAAACACAAATCTTAGTAATCAGTAAAAATCTTGACTAACAAAGCGCATTAAGAAACACCATGTATGCTAATACCAACTTTCTCCCTACTAGTGTTTATTGCTAATAGAGGGAGCTGGAGGAATCCACCACCAAAATCCACTACCACCACCACCCACCATCTTTGCTTTGCTTCATCCAAATTCCATCAAATTTCTTCCCCAAAATCACAAGAAAGAACATATGGGTTCCTCATTATCGACCCAAAAAAACCAAAAGTATCCCCATAATAAATATATTTTACATGAAATGATTGGACACAAATTGGGGAACTTAGACCCCCCAAAATATCCATTCCCTGCTACTACAAGCCTACAGATTCTGATCCCTGATCTCCTTCGAGATCACCATCACCCACAAAAAAAAAAAAAAACAAAAAAAAAAACAAAGCATTGAATTTGTTCATCATCTTCATCTTGCATCTTCTTCCTCGACCCAATCCCCCCTATTACAGTTTTGCTATCTAATTCCTTCCTTCCCACCCCCCACATTCAACAAAAAAAGGTTAAAAAACAGAAGCTAATGAAATTCAGGAGGATTCTAAGATGAGATTAGCCGTCTCAGCAATGGACAGCGTGTTGTGATTGTGATCTCCTTCGTAGGTCACCACCAGCATCGACGGGTCATCCACCGCTCTCTCCACGTGCTTCCGGGCCGGGCATCCCCGCACGCTGCTGCACTTGTAATAACCCCTGCAGTTTTTTTTTTTGCCAAAAATTGATTCAACAAAACCTTCGCCCAATCCCGGTCAACGATGGAGCAGATCGAGGAAATCGAACTTACCGTGGATGCGGGGAGCCTTTGATTGGCTTCTGCCCGTACTTCCGCCACGAGTAGTCGTCGGGAGGAATGTCCGCCATCTTCAGGCTTATCGCCGGAACCCTAACCACCCTCTTCAATCTTAATTTCCTACTGCAAAAAAATTCCGGACGAAATTCAATACAACCAGGGCTACAGGGGGAAGAATTAGCGGCGGGGGAGTGAATTCAAAAACAGGACTCGAGTGGACTGGCTACCTCTTCTTGGAGCAGTGGCAGCGACCGGAGGAGCCGCCGCTGAGGCATTTCCCGGATCCCAGAGTCTCAGAGCTGCACTTCCTCTTCAACGACGATGTGGAGAGCGGAGGCCGTCCGCCGGCCGAGTGAGACAGATTCGTGATCTGGAACGCCGACGAGGAAGAAGGCTGCTGGTGCTGGTGCTGGTGCTGGTGCGGCTTCCCCTCTGTTTCTCCGGTGAGCGTCGAAACGAACGAGTTCGCTGCGGAGGAGTAGGACGAGAAATTGATGGTCGTGGCGGACGAGTCTTTGCCGTTTCTGTCCACGGATGCGCCTGATTTCACAACCGCGAGGCCGAAATCCTGCGGCGAGGGAGGAATCTGCTGGATCGGCGTCGCGTAGTAGACCTTGTTGTTGTCGTCGTTGCTGTTGCTCTCGGGATGCGGGATTTCACTGCCGCTGCTGCGGTGGTGGTGGTGGCGGTGGTGGTAGTGGTTGAGATTTGCGGGGATCAGCTCCGTCGACGACGGAGAAGCGGCGGAGACAGGGGCTCTCCGGAAGCGGGCGTGGCCGGTTCGGGTGCTGCCTAGGAGGGAAATGACTTTCCTGAACTTGGAGACGGCGGCGTCGGCGACGGTTCTGCAGTCGGTTTCGATGTCGACGGCGGGACCGGGGGCGGCGGAGGCGGAGGCGGAGGGAGAGGAGCGGCGGTGGTTCTGATCTTGAGTCTGCTGCTGCTGCTGCTGGGAGAGAAGGCGGATTAGCTTGTTGACGCTTTCGAGGCCGGAGGCGGCTTCTTGGACGGCCGACTCTTCCATTTTGGTGACGAAGCTCGCGTTGCTGCTGCTGCTGCCGCCGTAGTTCATCATGAGCTCTATGGCCATGGCGGAGTGGGGGAACCCCAGGAGAGAGGAGAGAGAGGAATTAGAGGGGAATTGTAGGAGAGGGGAAAAGAAAGAGAGCTGTGGTGCTGATAAAAGGATGGGGAAAGCGGTCGGGCCGGGCCGGTTCGGGTCGGGCAAATGTGGTGGTTTGGGTTAGAAATGAAGGAGGAAAGCGAAAAAGGTATTGGTCGACAAGGTGACCGACGGGTCACTTTAGCCTTGTCGTCAAGTGTAGGTAAGAATAATTCAGTACATCATGCTTTTGGATTCCCCCATTTTTTTAATTAAATTTTCTTTTATTTTGTTTAATGAAAGCCAAATGCAAAGACCAGGAATAAAAACAGATTGTGAATTGAATTGGATGGGTCGTCGCTGGTCAAAGCAGGCCGCGGTCAAACATCACGCAACCACTTTTTTTTTCTATTCTTCGCTCTTCTCGAAGCAAGGAAGAAAAAGAGCAGTCGCTGTAAATTTCTATTGTCTGCGGACAATAATCGCTGTAATTTTTTTTTTTCACTTCACCGATAGTCGCTGTAAATTTTATATTTTGCTGTGGGGAATTTATTTTTATTTTATTAGTATTTGGGGTACGATAGGGAAGATGAGATGAGAGTGATTAGAATAGATTGAAGCTAGTGGGGGATGACTTGTCGGGAAACGTTTGACTTGCTGGATCGTAAGTGGGCCCAGGTGGGGAGAAATTTTGGTCCAGAGCCCAGAGGCACGTTAGAGAGATAGAGAGAGAGAGAGAAAGAGTGTGGGGGAGTCAAAAGAGCGTCTCCGGCCGTCTGATGGACGTCAGTAGATCTGAACGATAGGAGTTGGAGAGTGGGTCCCGGCAGCATGATTTGGTTGACTTTTGTCTGTGAAAAACTGGGCGCCGGTTTTCTCGCTGCCCGCCGTGGATGACTTCCCGCGTGGGAGTGATCTCAGCTCCCTGCCCCGCCCGCCCCCTCCTCTTAACCGGAATGCTGATCCTTACAGGCAAGGCAACAAAACCCGAATCCATGGTACTTTACCCGGTCAATGCGGATAAAATTCGTGTTGACGGATTTTAAAATTTGGATTTAAATCCGCACAGTATTCACCGGAGTGGGTTGAGTTTGGGTTTAGAGGTATCCGACCCATGAATACCCGTCTACACTTATTTCGTCGCCCTACTCTCCCCAAATCCTACCCTAATTCTAGTTTCCTCCAATCTAACTCTCACTACACTTATTCCGTGTGATTTTATTTAGTGTAATTGTGATATGTTCGAATTTTCTAGAATGGTGTTTTATGTTTGGATACTTTGTATGGGGAAATTGATGTTTGAATAATATTTTGATAGAAACTTGTTATTGAAAATTTGTTACCAAAAAAATCCATGGGTACCCATGAACCCGTGAATACCCAGCAGGTTTGGTTGGGTTTGAGTTTTCCAAACTCATAGATTTTACCCCGGATTTTTACGGATAAACCCATAAGTTTAGATTTTGATTTGACAAAACCCGATCAACCCGACACATTGCAATCCCTTCTACTCGCGTGAAGAAAAGGAAGAAGAAAAAAACTGTTACTTCCAAATTTTCTCCCTGGCCCCGGCCCATCCTCGTAGCCGGAATGCACACGTGATGCGTCACGAGCCTCACACACCGACTGGCGACTGCCCTTGTGGAAGAAGATAATCCTGGAATGGGAAACTGAAGGGAAACTAGATTTTTTTTTTGACAAAGATTACCAACTTTTATTCCACCAAAAATTGAAAGACATGAAACATGGTTACAAATCTTAAAGAAGATCAGAAATGAGGTCAAGAATATTAATCCAATCATCGGGGAGAGTATTTCGAGCTTTTGATCGTGCCACCCAATCAGCTCTGACATTAAGTGCTCGGGGTACTTCCTTGATCTTGATGAGAGGGTTTGTCCTAAGGATTGCAACAATCGACCCGATCCAGGCTGCACATCTCCATGGCCAACGAGAGCGATCGTATTCCAAGGCTTTCACCAACACCTGACAGTCAGACTGGACAGTACATTCAGATCCATATTCTTGAGCTAATTTCACTCCTTCAAGTAAGGCCTTTGTTTCAGCTTCAATCGGGGTGGAACAAAGAAGATCCTCAGCTCGCCCATCACATACTTGTCCATGGTGGTTAACAACCACAACACCATATGCCGCCGGCTGGGAGTCGCTAATGTACGACCCATCACAGTGAATCACCAAAGAATGATTACTTGGCGGTGTATTTGTATGAGACTGGGAGCCCCTGAGCTGAGTGGGCATGTAAGGCAGGGGAGGAGGGTTCCTCGGGCATGAATTCCATTCAGATAGCTCTTTGTAAGTGAGTTGGCACACCTGCGGAGGCCACGGTTTTCTATTCTTGAATGAGCATTCGTTCCTCGCCTTCCAGATATTCCAGCACAGGAACACAATATGGATCAAGGAGCTGTGCTGAACAACATCTTTAAGTGAGTAGAACCAGTCAAGGAACAGGGTTCCCTGAGGAGCGAGGGGGAGAGACGGAAACAGGGCATCCCAAGCCGCCTTGGCATGAGGGCATTGGAAAAGACAGTGATTGATGGATTCTATGGGGTTCTGGCACACCTGACACATAGAGTTGGGAGCGCATTTCCTCTGGAGCAGTCTCTCTTTCGTAGCAAGCCCATTCTTAGAGCACCTCCAAACAAAGAATTTCAGCTTCGGGGGGAGATGGAGGCTCCACATCCACTTCCATTTTTCAGTGATCCCGCTAGGTTGTGCATTGGTATTGGCTCTATGAATCGAATGATACGCAGATTTCACTGTGAACTTTCCATCATTGTTGTAGTTCCATGCCCAAAAATCATTGGCTCCTTCTTCCCCAATGGGGATCCTGAGGATAGCATCGAGTTCAGAGCCTGACACATTCCTCTGTATAACATCTGACTTCCAACTTCTATCTCCCGGATCAATCCACTCGCTGACCTTCTGGTGATTCTGGGGGCCACTCCTCAGAGTATTATTTTCCAGAAAGGGAATCCAAGGGTCTTGATCAACCCACGTGTCTTCACCTGATCCAATCACTCTAATTGCTCCCATCCCAATCACCTTTTTAGCCTCCCAGATACTGGCCCATATCCACGATGCTTTGCTTCCCTTTTTCGCATTAAGGAACTCACTTCTTGGGAAGTACATCCCTTTAAGGAGACGGCTCCATAAAGAGTCAGGGGTCGTAAGGAGGCGCCAAGCCTGCTTAGCAAGCAGGGCAAGGTTAAAATCGTTGAAGCTCCTGAATCCTAACCCTCCTTCTGCCTTCGGAAGACACAGAATCTCCTTTTTACACCAGTGGAGACTACTCTTCTGCATAGATCGTGACCAAAAGAAATTACTGAGAAGAGAGTCCATTCTCTTTGTGAGGGCCTCCGGGAGATGGAACAGACACGTGATGTAAGAAGGAATAGCTTGTATGACAGCTTTCAGAAGAACTTCTTTACCACCATGAGAAAGTAGATAAAGGGGTGATTGTTGGTAGATTTGAAAAATGACAGATTTTGTTAATTTTTAAAAATAGTTTAATTTCAGCTATAGTTAAATTGATTAATTAACACACATGAAATGTTTTAGATAGAGTTGGAACAAAAGCAAAAACAACCACTTCAATCACATTATGTGAGCAATCTCTCTAAAACTTGAGATTTAACTATCATTAATTGTGAGAGATAGTATATGTCACAACAAGTAAACAATGTTTGTATTTTTTAACAGAAAATTCAATAAAAATGATGCATTGTGAACAATAGAAGCATTGTAACAATCTCAATCGAAATATCACCAATATCAAAAGAGGCAGATTTTAGAAATTCCTAAATTTATAATGGACTTTTTGGCATTATGAACTTGAAGGAGTCTATTGTTTGTGATAGAAACACGATTTCCCAGTTCAATCATAATTATAATCATCAGCATTATATATTTATTAAATATGGTTAGTAGTATTTTAGTAGAATTAGGTTTATTATTAGGGTTTTCCTAGTATTCTCTATAAATATGTACTTGGTTTTATCATAATCGATCAAGAAAAGTATTAGCAAACTATCTCTCCCAAACCCTATCCTCTCTATTCTCAATCTCTATCTCTCTAAGGCGTCGGTCGGTTCTCTTTAACTCTTCTTCCCCAATTATGTCCGTATAAACCCTAAATCCCCCAAACATAAAAACCGATAAAACTTTGTTTCTATTATTTGGTGTCAGAGTCTGGTTGCGATGATGAGTTCGGCACAACTCTCACCCAGTGGTTTGAACGACTTCCAGCACAAGTTCAACGCCATCTTTGCCAAAATAAATCAAAGATTCGATTCTTTCTTGCCCGAGCAAGAGGCAAATCAACAACAATTGGAGGCAGGCATTCAGGCCATTAGGGACAACTTGAAAGTGAACGTCGAAGACATGAACGCAACCCTTGAGCTAAGCACGCCCCTGGCCAATACGCTTTTGTGTCTAAGCTTGAACTAAAAAAAAAAATTAAAAAGCGTTAAACGATGAAGAGTGGAACTTTTCTATGCAAGAAGAGCTTGCTCAGTTTAGACATTTAAACGTATGTGATAACACAGTATTTACACATGTTTTTCCTTTCACCTTTCGACCGTTTGGGATATGTTTGTTGCAACTAAGGATCGATTTTAGGCTAGGCTGCGTTTGTTTGCGATATTTCAGGGCCTAATGCATGGAGGAAACGTTTGGGGGCAATTTATGAACCGAATGGAGCAGAGAGGGATTGAGAGCTGCTAGATGAATCGTGGAAAATGGCGAAGGAAAGAGTGTAACGATCACGATCGTGACTTCTCAGCCCCCGTCGTGGCATCTCCCACCATCCCTTAACTCGAACACGGGCAAACAGAAGGTTCAAGTACAAGTCACGATCCCGCCCGTGACTCTCAGCCCACAGTCGTGACTCTTGGTTCATGACTTGATGGAATGACAAAGCAACCTAAGGATGATTGGATCAAGCATTGAAGAACTTCGAAAGACCATATGAGCTATAATGAGAAGATTAAGGAGCTTTCGTGATAGAGAAGAGGTCCAATGATGAAGAAGTCAACTAGAAGTTGCTACATTATCTCAAGACAAGCCAATATGAAGAAGACTCGACCCATTTGGACAAAAGAAAGAGAGGCAACCCCACAACTGATCGTACCGCCGCTACCCATGATATTCGGGTTCAGATTCTCCATACTACTAGATAATTTTCTTAGTTCAGATTTTACCTACCCAATCGTGTAGAATTCGGGGTAACCATAATTATAGCTATTTTTCCACCCTATTATAACCAATGGAGTCAAAAGCGCGATTCTACCTAGAAGCGGAAAATGAGTAAAATCGTAAAGCGTAGAATCAAAGCGTAAAAGCGTAAGTTTTTGACGCATACTGAAAAATAACTAAAAATCTATTAAGTGGGACATATACTATGTAAAATATGAATGCACATAATTTAGATAAGTTAATAAATACATGCAATTCATGCCTAAAGTAGAGCAAC